TTTTTTTTGTTGTCGTTTTGTTTTATCATTGTATAGATGTTAATGTCATTATATTGTATTTGGTAACTTTGTTAACTTTTATGTATTACTGTGTTTCGCCTCTCGAATTTCAGGAAGGTTTGCACTTGTCCTTGTGGATGTTATGTTAAAATAAATAAATGTTGATGGCTTGCATTATGAAATTTAACAATCATGAGAAATACATTTGAATTTTGTATCAAAATATTGAGTCTGGTTGTGGTGAGTTTTTCCTCCTCCCTTTCCTTTTCTTTATCGTAGCAGCAATAAGAGAATATGCTTTCTGGAAAAACTAAAAAAATGTAATAACATGTTTATGATGTAATTCAATGAGATCCAGTTAGTGGGCATGAGCTCTTCCGAAAAGGCTGACTAAAAATAAACAATCATGAATTCCAGACAATCGATCTTTATAAATCTCTCTTTTCCTCTTAGAACCATCATCATGACGTCAAAGTTTTTACATTTTTCCAGTATCTAAGTAAAATGAGCGATGCTTCGATCTATTGCTTATTCGTTTTTTCTTTTTCCGCTATTCTACAAATGTTAGGATGCTAACACACTGAACTAAAATAAGAACGTCACAGTATGACGTCAGCATGTTACATACAGGTACTGGCACGGTGCCTGATTGTAGTTTAATGGCCGTTTCTTTTCTTCATTCCAGCTTTCAAATAAAACTGGGTTGGGTGGTGAGGGAACTCAATGCTTTCCAAACTGAAATGAAAGAACTGTTAAGCAAAAGGAAGGTCCACTAAAGCTGTTTTTGTCAGTCAATAGAATTTAAATTGCTAGTTAATTTTTTTTTTTTTTGTCTTGACATGAATCACTTGGATTTATTATGATACAGAGCTACATATCTAAACATAGATATGATATGTTTGTGGAAAAGTTTAAATATCAAATATTTCATGACTATCTACACCAGGGGTGTCCAACTCCAGGCCTCGAGGGCCGGTGTCCTGCAGGTTTTAGATGTGTCCTTGATCCAGCACAGCTGATTTAAATGGCTAAATGACCTCATGTCTTGAAGTTCTCCACAGGCCTGGTAATGAACTAATCATTTGATTCAGGTGTGTTGACCCAGGGTGAGATCTAAAACCTGCAGGATACCGGCCCTTGAGGCCTGGAGTTGGACACCCCTGATATAGACACTATTAGCACGTCCTATGGATCTCTCTGCTTGTTTGCACTGTTGTTGCTTAGTTACAATCACTTGTATCTAACAATGCATACAAAACAATCCTACGTAGAACAACAGTGACCAGCCTTTAACATTTGTGATTAAAAAATAAGGTATATTTTCTTCTTGACTCCCAGTTTGGGAACAGCGCTCAGTCTTTGTGAGGCTATCATACTTTGTTATCATCCCATTTCGTATTTTGCATGCTGCTGCTGAACAACAGCCCTTTTCATGCTTTCTGTTGAGCTGCTGTCAGTAGTTCACCTGTGTGTCCTTAGAAAAGCATACCAACACAATTACATTAGCTAAGAGCAGATTTCCTCTGAAAGCATCTGTTTTTCTTCTCAATATGTCTTTCTGCAAGCAGCATCATAAATTTACAAAAAAAGAAGCCCCCTCAGGCTAGTCTTCCTTAAATATCCTGCAGCCGCTGTGAACAGGAAATGCCAGGATTATGTAAAGAGGAACAGAGAGCAATCCGTTCCAGTGTAATATAGCTTCTTTCCCTTTTTTTTCTCACCCCTGTGATTGTTTACTTGTGTCAGTTCAAACAATATCCGTGCCTGCCAATATCCCGAATTCTTGCTTTAATGTCTTCTTCCTCTTGTTGTTGGCATTGAGCCAGTTCATCTCCATGGTCCTGGTCTGGTGGCTCTTGGCTGCATCTGCTGTTTCCCTTAAAGAAAATCCTTCTTCTACATGGAGCTGAGGAATGCCAGAAATGTCTCTAACTGGCCTGCTTTCAACATTGTCCTTCCAAAACTGTCTTTTATGCATCTCTTCCCTTTCATCTTCCTTATGAATTTGTTTCCATACCACAGCGCACACACATAAACACACGCACTTACTAGAAGTCACTGATTAAGTGGCTGTTTCCCAGAAAAAAATCAGGTTCAGTTCATGTGACTTTGATATTTGCGGTGACCATTAGGAGATGATTTAAGGCAGATGTGGAGACAGTTTGTACTGTCTTCTAACTTTGAGTGCACTCCAAAATCTGACCGTGTGGCAAACAAGAACTTAGTTCCTACAAATCCAAACAAATATGAAAAGCTGACCAAAGCTTACTATGGAATCCAGATAACCTGCTTTCAGCAGTCTCTGTGGACTGTCACAGTCTTGCTTAATGGTTTTAAATGATATCAGGCAGCAAATGTTGCTTTGAAACACCGAGTCTAAGCAAAATTCATTTATCTATCTTAAGTCAACCAGCCAAAAAAGATAACATTAAAATAACAAATACTGTTTTTGCTTGCATTATACAAACTTTGACTACACATGATTTTGTTGCCATTAAGCAGGGGTTTGATTTAATGGTAACCAGCTGCATATCCTTAAGACATGTCTGTCAGTGCCACCCACTGTCATATTTTTCCCTTGAGGTCTGCAAAAATCCAAGACTGGGATTTGCAAAACGTAAATGGAAAGCTGAAAATGTTGCATTCTACTGTAACGGTCCCAATAATCAGTTATATGAGAAAGAATTGTTGACAGCATGGTATTTTGACTGTGGCATTCCCATCCATCTGCAACTGACAGCTTAGGAACACATTACAAAACTGGCATTTGGGAGGTGGAGCAGGGAGGTGGAGGCGCTGGAGCCCGTCCCAGCTGTCATAGGGTGAGAGGCGGGTACCCCCTGGACCGATCACCAGTCCATTACAGGGCTAACATAGACGCCCACATCCACACCTGCAGCCAATTTAGAATCACTATTTGTTTATGTAAAACATTTTTCTCTGACATAGTCAAATATTTTAAGTTATCTGGATGGATGATGGCAGCATGCTGAGGAATATCCTAAAATAGCTTATCTAAAACAAGAGACAATTTGCTAACTTTTAAAGGAGTCCTGTTAATTTCCATACTTGCGCACAGAGCCAGGTACTAAAAATAGACACAGAATAGCAGAAAAGTAAAACAAGAACACTGCAGAGAACTACAAATGGGGGATTTTGCAGGACTGAGCTACACAACAACGAGCCACAACAACCAGTGAAAGATGTGCGGTTGTGAACAACATTTCTGATCTTGTTGAAATGTTCAATATTTTGTTGGGAAACTTTGTCTCTTGGAAGTCATGTGGATGTTACTTTGGCATATGCAGTAAACATTATTACAGGCCAAGCACTCCTATAGCGATGGCACTCCCTGCAGCAGGATACATACTGCAAAACACCAAACCACAAATACTGAGGAATGGCTTTAGGAACGCAACCAGGAACACAAGGTGTTGATCCAGTCTCCATACTCCTCTTAAAGAATCCACGTACAACGTTAGAGTTGAAAACACCACAGAGCCCCACTGTCCATATCTGTCCATGCAGGTCACACAGAAGTGTGTGGTTTTAATGTTGCGGCATTTTTTTCTGACTCTCTGAGTCTTGCTTGCACCACTAATATGGGTATTCTGAGTGTGCACATTATCCATCGTGCAATTTCCTTAAATATGCTGTAAATGTGCAACAGAACCAACAAGTTTTGAACTGACATTGTCTGTCTTTTATTACAAAGCCTGTTTGGTACAAAAGTCCATTTGTCCTGACTAATTACAGAGATTACAGCGACCAGTATTTATATATATTTAGATGTCATACTGCAAAGACTACAACCACAGTACAGTGCAGGACTTTGTTGCCTAGAGCTGCGTTTTCGCAAAGCATTCGCTCTTCTTGGTTTTACCAACAGATTTCCATTGAAAGCTAATTTTCTTGGCCAGCCCCTTAGGTACACGTTTCCATCACTAGAAGAAGAGCTTCCCCTGCACCTCATGAGGCATTAAACTCTCTCAATCCCCCTGAAGTCCTTCTCTGGTTGTCTCTTTATGTCCCCTGGAAATGCCATGCTTTCTCTCTCACTGTCTCACTCCGTCTCACTATCTCTAGATCTCTTTCAGTGAACCATTTTCTCAGAACTTGTTATCCTACCACCTTACATAAGGGGGAAATTCCTTTATGCTTATGTTCCCGATTACTCTGCTATTATAGAAAGTTCAACGCTGTCAAAAAAAACACAAAACATAAGTAGGTTAGTGTGGCAGTGTGTATGTGTTTGAGCATAATCAAAGTATATATACAGGCTCAATTATTATACATACATTTATTTAAATATAATACTACAATGTCTTTTACC